GGAGACTCTGACCAGAGAGGACGTACGGCAAAACAGGTGCTGCCGTTAGTTACGAGTTGTCATAACGAGAGCTAGAAGTAGAATCCTTCAAAAAATGCATAATTAGATGTTTAAATGAGTTAAATATTGTCTTTCTTTAATTGCAATTGTAGTGTTTACGTGATCGTAAAATAAAATTGTGTGGTCTTAAACACGTGTCTCAACTCAACCACACCCATATCTAGCTGCATAAACAAACCGACATCTACTAAACGATAAAATATGTACTAATATTAACACCTGATTGATTACAATCCCAAAGATGGGCTTCAAAATTAGCATTTTTGTTAAATTAATAATCCAATTAACTAACTAACTCTCTGATACTACAGTCCATGTTGAACCATGACCATCTGCCCACTGGTAGATTCCGAAACAGAAGATTCTTTCTTTTTACGGTGTAGGGTTTTCAGCCCTACGCCCAACGCTCTATAGACATATTAGACCGGGACTTACGGTTTCAAGCGGATTCCGAATCCCTACAGACATGTACACCGCCGGGACCGGAACCCAAAACCTGGGGAATAATTTAATAATCACTGAGTATAAAAAAAAAAAAACATTTTAGAATTTTTTAAATAATGTGTAATAATAATTAATGATAACGAGGGGGATGATCTTATAAATGTTAGATTTTTCAAATTAGTTTTCTGAGAAAAGCATGGTTAATTTCAAAAAAATTTTTTTAAATAAGCAGTGTTATAATAAAGACATGAAACAGAAATTAATACAGCTATTTAGCAAGCAAATATTACACATTCTTTTTTCTTACTATAATCAATTCAAATTAAGACACAATAAATGTATCAAGTTACATTTATTGCTACAGAATATGTTTGTATCAACATGTTCTGTAGCTTTACAACATGCGCTTTATGAACAATTTATACAATTCGATTAAATGAAATCAGCAGCAAATAATTGTTAAATTTACAAAAATGTGTTAAAAAAATTATTGTTAAATTTACAAAAAATTTTATGTTTTTTTCATTTATTTTCAAATGATACTATACTTCTTTCTGATGCAAATCTTGTAAAAACATGCATCTCTTTTTTTCCCCACTTATTTTCCGTGTACGCGAAGATCGATTAAGAATTGAAATAATTATTATATATTTCCGAATATAAAAGCTGAACCCTGTAAAAACCATGTGTGGGTTTCTTTTTCAAAAAATTACCCAAATTACAAAATTTCCGTATATAAGCCGAAATGAAAAATGATTCTTGTAATGTTCAAACATGTTGCCCTAGCGAAAAATAAGAATTTTTGTAAGATTAGCTAATCCGTATATAAGTTGACCCCACTAATTTATCTTTAAAAATGCTCTAAGAACCTCGGTCTGTACAAGTAAACATACGATACTTTAATGCACGGATATATACGGTACTTTAATTTAATATTTAATTAAGATTTTTGCAATGTTTCAACATACGATAATTAAGTTTTACGATGCTTTAACTAATTTTAATTATGTTACGATACTTTAATATACCATAATTTTAATTTACGATAGTTTAATTAATTTAATTTTTATTTAATATTTTTACAATTCTTTCAAATATGATCATTTAATGTAGGATACTATAATTAATTTATTTTTTATTTTACATACTTTAATATCCGATAACTAATTTACGATATTTTAATTAATATTTTATGATACTTTTAATATTTGATGATTTAAGTTACAATTAATATACGTTAATTGAATTTATGATACTTTAATATACGATAATTTAATTAATTTAATTTTACGATACTTTAATTAGTTTAATTTTCAATACTTTAATCACATATACCGGAATCCTATCACGCTCATGGATGATAAAAAATTCATTCTTCAATTACAAAAAAGGTTTACCAGACAACAGAATGATTTAACTACTTTTGACATTGCACTGATTTTGACAATTGTCAGAGCCAAAAGTTGACGTATTTCAGGAGGGGATGTCCTGTGAGAAAATCAGTTTCCTTTTTACTTACTAAACTAATAGTTAGGGAGGAAAACGTCGACCGGATTCATTTTTATTTCAAAACCTATACCAGACGTTTTCGGAGTGAACATGTGAACACTATTCTTATCTGTAACTTAACTTCAGTATTTTGAGTTTCGCCGCACTAATTAAAAATGATTATAATGGATCTTATTTAGAAAAAATTCCTCTAATGAAAATTATTCTTTAGGCCCAATGCAACCATTACAGGCAAGAATAGAATCTGTCGGCAGTATCCGTTGAAGTAGCTACCTCCAGAAACAATAAAATTCGATGACGATTTAGGCAACGTATCTTAGCACCTCGCATCATCACTTAAACAACCTAGAAGAAATTTTCCGAGTTTTCTTCAGTATATTATAGGGTAGTAGTATGTTATAAATATATCTTCAGTATGTTATAGGGTATGTATACTTAAGATTATATTATACTATATGTATAGACAGTTTGACATTATTGAGGCATTTTGACAGCGTTAGCCTCCATATACCTCTGTCTTGATGGTTCCTTTGGAGGTAAATGATAAGAGAAATGGTTTCCACAATAAATTAAGTAAAAAATAAAATATAGAATAAAAACAACATATATAGAGAGAGCTGAAAATTTTTTTATTTATTTAGTATGTTCAGAGAGGTGCGCGAACGTTTATTGTTGGTAGGTAGCGTTACTATATGTATAGATTATATCCTTAATTATATAGGTGGCTGCCTTAAATATATATAGTGGTATCCTCAAGTGGTATATATACATATTTATATATATATATATAGAGAGAGAGAGAGAAATAAAGAGAGAGGGGATAGGAATACCCCTAGATATGATTAAGGCTAAGTGTTATACATAAGTTATATCCTTGTGCATAAGTTACATAGGTGGTATGCTTAAATATGTGGGATGATGATTTTAATTATATATAGGTGATATCCTTAAGTATATATAGAGTAGCCTTAAGCATATCTTGGGATATTCTTAAGTGGTATACATAAGTTGCTTCCTTGTGCATAAGTTACATAGGTGGCATCCATAAATGTGTATGGTGGTAGTTTTAAGTATATATACGTAGGTTACATCCTTCAGAATGTATATGTGATAGCTTTATGCATATATAGTGGTATCCTTAAATATATATATAGGTGGTATCTTTCAGTGGTATATATATATATATTTCATGCTTAAGGGGCATTTATAATGTATATCCTGTGTAGGTGGTATCCTTAAATGATATATATAGGTGATATCCTTAAGTGGTATGTATAAATTGTATCATGTTAAGTACGTATAGGTGGTACCCATATGTGATTATATAGGTTGTATCCTTAAATACATATAGGGGGTATCTTTTTTGGGAATTTATAGGTTGTATCCTTAAATACATATAGGTGATACCCTTATGTGAATATGTTATATCCTTAACTACATATAGGAGGTACCCTTATGTGAATATGTTGTATCCTTAATTACATATAGGTGATACCCTTATGTGAATATGTTGTATCCTTAACTACATATAGGTGGTACCCTTATGTATGTATATATAGGTTGCATCCGATCCTTAAATGATAAAAGATTCACCGAAGTTCAACAAAATAAAAAGAATTTGATCTCAACATTATTGTATCCGTGTTTTTAGGGGTTTTTCTCATTTTAAAAACACGACAAAAATAACATAATTTTAAAAACTTTTAAAGGTTGAAAGCTATTCACAAAGAAACACGAGACTATTTTCATTTATCAAAACATGGGGTTACCCTGGGTTCCTACTGAGTCTAACGGTTTTTGCAAATACCGTTTATCTAAAATTGCATCAAGGAATATTTTAAAATTTACAGTCGATTTTGTACAAGGAACAAAAATTGATTCCTGATTTTGCTGTATGAAAGTAACAGGTGCATAAATTTCCATTCCAACTCATCAAAAGCATTCAATAGAAGTTTGGAGTGGGACAATTCCTGGGCTTTTTCATATTTTCTAAAACAGGTTATTGGGTTGCAAAAATCTAAACACAAAAATGCGAGGTGCAGTTGAAGAATGCACTTGAAATCTAAAAAGCATGGAATATTTTCAATCTTTCTCGTCTGAATGCATTGCTTATTTAACTGATGCACTGAGTTCGTTATAAAATTTCAATAAATTTTGTGCAACTATAAAAAAATTGTCAACATTTTATAGTTAAACTATATTTTGAAATGAATATTCAAGAATCACCACCCTTCAATTAATTTTTTAATAACATCAAATTATAATCAATGCATTATATATATATATATATATATATATATATATACGTACTTATACGTACATACTTATATTGTATACGTATACTTATACGTATATATGTATATATATACAATAGCAGAAATCGGCATACGTTGTCCTGCCAAAAATGCACTGTAGTAAATTACGTATAGCGAATATATTCTCAGTGTTCAAATATATATATGTGTGTATACTAATAATTTTCATGGATATCGTTTGAAGGGTATAAAGATGAATTTCTGCAGCACCCTTTTGGTAGCAAGTATCAATAAAGTGGATAGTGCGAACCTGTTTTCCATACTCGAATACCTATTACTACCCATTTTTATAGCGATGGGTTGAAAGGTGTAGAAGTTGATAGATTGTAGCATCTTCTGGTGGCGACTTACAACAAAGGGAATAGCATAAAAACATATTTTGTTTTGTTGTTTCTTATCCCACTTGGCTGGCCAAGCCCACGAGCCCATACGTACTCATGATTGAAGGGGAAGGAAGCAGCTTCTGTTGTGAAGGAGCACCCCGTAGGTAGAGGTCTGACTTTGGCTCTGTGACGCTCTTACAGTCATAGGAGACCGGGACCTACGGCTTAAAGTGGATTCCGAACCACTACAAACATCCATGGCACCGCCGGGATTCGAACCCGAAACCTGTGGCACCAAGCACCAGAGCGCTACACATTCGGCCATTCAGGTCCCAAATTTGTGAATGCCAACGGCACGCGGTGTTCCCAGGTGGTCACCCACCCAAGTACTGACCGCGCCCAATGATGCTTGACTTCGATGATCTAGATCGGTGATCGAGAATATGATTCGGTGATCGAGAACCGGTATATTCAGCATGGTATGGCCGTTGGCTGCCTAAAAAACATTCTCCGTGTTTTATCAAACGCACTTAAAAAATTTCATCCAAATCGATCCAGCCGTTTAGAAGGAGTTTAGTGACAATATCAAATATCATATATATATAACCAAATAAGGAAGAAAGGAAAGAGCAGCAGGTACGCCAGTTAAAGCACATACTCATATACCACTCCTTGTACAGAATTTGCTTCAGAAATAATAAAATGTAGTACTATTAAATAATACCTCAAAGCTACCACTGAATATTTCCTATATAAGAATGAAGAAAAATTGTGCCTTCCGCAAAATAAGAAAAACAAACATTCTTCTTCCGTTCCATAAACGAGCAAGCCCTCCCCCATCACTTCCTCCTGATCCACTCAATTATGGATATCAATACAGCGATGTCGATTAGCCAGCTCTGTGATGTAGAGTTGACAACGTTCGGGCATCATGCATGCCTTCTGGGTTCTTGTACTTTTTGAGATAAATCACGCTGATAAGAGTCGTCACTTGTGTAATCAGCCATACACAAAGTAGAACGGTTATTTTATTTACGAATGAGGCAAAGAAGATATGACCTTTTAGGCTATAAATAAAAATTTAAGTATTTATATCAATACACTCACTAATAAATATGTATATGAGGGATATAATATCATGCCATATAGCATATAATAATACCATATAAGAATTATAATGTGTATCACAAAAATATTAATGTATAGAAGCAAATTTTATGTAACCAAATATGGATGAATGGTTTATTTAGTTGTAAAACTACCATTATCATCACCGATAAAGTCATAGGATTGTTTTTGTTTTATTGGGATTACGGATAAGGCGCTTAAATAATTATTTGCTGTGATGATACGAAAAGGGAAATGAAAAGAAATATGTTTGTTTTTCTAATGCTGCTGTCAAATACTTTACTTACTTGCAGTTATTTTTTATACATTAAGTAAGGGTTGCAGCGACGTTATCATTTGCACTACCCATGGGGTGCGGCTGGTAGATAAGCTACGAACGCGGAGTAACACTACACCAGCAGCGCTGGCACGATCCGGTGAGACCGGGACCTACGATGTAAAGTGGTACGAACCCCCTAAAAACTATCACCCATGGCACCAGGGCTCGAACACGAAACATGTGATACCGACTGCAAGGGCGCTAGCCACTCGGCCATCAGGCTCAGGGAAAGATGTAGAAATTAGAATTAAAAATTATATATAATTTTAAAATTGCTCTAAATGTCACGAAACGTTTTCAACCATGTAATTACATGAGAGGGGAGCTCTCCTTGTTTGTTTTAATTGTTTTTCTTATTTTGCATTGTAGTAAAGAAGAAGAAGAAATTATTGTTCCACCAAACATCCACTTGGCTTTCATCCTAGAACTTTCTAAAAAAATTGTAGGGTAGTTCATAAAAAGCTTCGGTTGGTAATACTGCTTAAATATGATTATAAATCTTAAGCTACTATGTGCTATTTTAAAGAGAGAAAGGAGAAGAGAGGTCTGAAAGGATTTTTGCATTGCAATGATGGTTTTATTATGCATTTTGCGGGTAGCAAAAACTGGTAGTGGCTTTCAATGTTCAAAGAGATTTTTTATTTCAAATTTATTACTTGTAAGTGTTTTCTTTGATTTTGTGTGTTCATATGTTGTGTTCCTTTTTACATATATATATATATATATATATATATATATATATATATACAGAGAAAAAATAATATATATCACGATATGCACAAATACACATAAAAATACTAGAATAGAAGATCCAGTAGAAATAGGATATATTTTTAAACAGGGGTGAACAGGGAAAAAATAAAAATCCCTATGTGAAACATAATAAATATACTGAGGGATACTTTTTTCGAAAATTTTCTTATTTCATAGCGTAAAACAATCTAGATAGAAAGAAATTCAACGATGTATTCCGATAACATGGAAGAACAATAGTATGTTACATTGTTAACTATACTGGACCATCGGAAAGCGTTAGATGATAGATTTCCATACAGCTACACACAAATAAATAATAAAATTTGAAATGAAATGAGTGTTCTTCTTAATGATGTTGTCTATAATAAATCATACATATGTGCATGTGTGGGCTATAAAAATTGGCAAAAAAAATACTTTTTTTCAATCATTTTGGAATACTAATTTATTTTAATCCAAGGAGTAAGGATATTTTTTATACATCTGTGTTTTTAATAATACGTTCACAACAATAATTTCTTTAACTTTTTGGGATTACAACACCTACTCAAGTTTAAACAGCAATACGTAAC